TCACTTTGCTTTTATTTTCTTCCTTTCATTTTTGTTTTTTATTGTGGACAGGGTTTCTCTGTTGTGAACACACTATGTAGAGTAGGTTGAACTTGAACTGACTGAGATCTCCCTGCCTCTGACCCTGAGTGCTGAGATTAAAGGCATGAACTATTGCTGCCTGGCTCAGGGTTTTCGTTTCCAAATAATATGAGTCAAATTTTGAGATATACAAAATAATTAAATAGTGTTTTTCTCATTTATCCCAGACTGTGCCCTAAGTTTTGCAATATGTTTCCTGCTTCCTGAGCAAAGAGACTTCAGATGTTTAACTGCCCATGTTACTGCACAGTTTTCATAATTAATTTTCACCAGTTATCATTATTCATTAAATAAAATTTCTTTGAGTAAAACTTAAAGGGTATCTCACTAATTTATATTGCAAAACATGAACACTTTAAATACTGGGAGTAGCTTGGGTAGTGGTGGCACAGACCTTTAATCCCAGAAATTGGCAGGAAGGGGGAATTGGATGTTTAGGAGTTCAATTCCTACCTGGTCTACCGAGTGAGTGCCAGGACAAGCTCCTTAGCGAAAAAGGGAAAACCTGTTATGAAAATAAATAAATATACTGGGTGTAGACATGACAGTACCTAAGACTGCATTCTGTGGGGCAGGGGGGCAGGAGTGATGTCTCAGTGAGTCAGCGAAATTCTTGCTTTACCATGGAAGGGTGTTTCAATTCCTAATATTTTCACTGGTTTCTTGACACAGGCTTTCTCTGTTTAACAGTTTTGGCTTTTCTGGGATTCACTTTGAACACCAGGCTTGTGTCAAACTCTTGGAGATCCTCCTGCCTTTGCCTCCAAAGTGCTGGAATTAAAGGAGGGTGGACCACCAAACCCAGTTTGAATTTCTTCTATAATGTTTCAAATATACATTAGTTCATAGGAATGACGCTAATATGTGGCATCATGGGGAAATGTCAGTTCTTAGTTCCTGGAGGCCTTATTTGTTTCAACTTTATATTCAGTGACATTTCATATGAAGCAGAAAAATCAGTGCAAAAACACAAAAAAAATCAACAAAAAGTCTGGCTCAGAGTTTTAATGTTAGCTTGTCAGATTCTCATCAAAATAGATGCAAATCACAGCAAAGTGTGAACTATCAACCATTAACTTGATTAGCAAACAATAAAATTAAAATGGATGAAGTTTAATTCAGTTGGTAGATTGGGAGGGACATCCTCACCATCAAATTCCTTGTGTAGTGCGCCATGCTGTTCATGGGTAATCCCAAAACCTCCAGGTCATCCTATACTAAAAAGAAAGTTTAAGGCCAGTTAAGGATACATGAGGTCCGCCTTAAAATAAGCTTGTCGGGCAATGGTGGGACATGCCTTCAAACCAGCACCTTTTAGGAAAAGACAGGCACATCTCACAGTTTGAGTTCAGCTTGGTCCACATGATGAGTAGCAGGATATCCATGGCTACTCAGAGAATCTCTTTGTGGAAAAAAAATTGAATGACTGAAAAGGTATAATTGAATAGAAAACTGATCATATCTTTTACAACAATATTATTGACAAAGCTAGGTTTCGTGGACAATCATTTCATCCTAGCACAAAGAACCCAGATGCAAGCAGATGTCTCTGAGCTTGACGCCAACCTAGTCTGCTTAGTCAGATACAGGACATCCAAGGCTATACTAAAAACCCTGCGTCAAAAAAGGAGTCTGGCATTGTGACACACACCTTTAATCCCTGAACCCCAGAGTAAGAGGAATTAACATACAAATCTTTTTTTCTTCAGGACAGCCTGGTTTATAGAGTACTCAGGGCTACACAGAGAAACCCTGTCTCAAGAGACGGAAAAAAGAGGGGGTGACAGAAATCAGAAGGCATAGGATGACCTTTGGCAGCCTGAGTTGAAACCCTATTACTAAGTGAGATGGCAACCAAGTAGTGAAGGCCTCATTTCAACTGGGATCAAGACCCAAAATTGGAGAACCAAGAGGGCCGGGCAAAGGATGTGTTACTGCTCAAGGTCCAGATGATGAAAGACATCCTCAAATATACCAAGTTCCTATAGGGTGAAGCTGTAGACTGGGAGGGTCCATTTAGTGGGCGGTTCTGTTGGAATGATGGGAAAAAGGTGGAGTAAGTGGGAGGGGCCTAGAAGGAAAATATATTTAAGGCCAGGTTCTTAGTCTGGAGCTTCAAACAACAGCAGCGATCTAGTGAAGGAAGGAGAGCCTACTGATAGCCAGGGTAAGTTGGCCTGTTAGGCTTCTGGGTACATTGCATGAGTGGGATGACTATACCATTTTGTACACCCAAAGCAGTGTAAAAGCACAAGCTGTTGTTGGTTTTAGTTTTTCAGCATTTAAAATCTTAAAGTATTTTTAATTTGCATTGATCTGGTAAATATAGATGTAGAAGGAATTTTTTATTCATTTGCTTACCTTTTTGAGAATAGCTCACTTTAAAAAGTCAGGGCTGTGCTGGAGCTCTCTGTGTAGATCAGGACCTCGCGCATTTTTCCTGCCTCTGACACCAGAGTACTGGGATTGAAGTAATGTACTACCACCCCAGGTCACTTTAATCTTTAATTTTATTGTATCCTTTGTGTTTGTTTTGTGGGTGTTGCTTTTTTGTGAGGAAAAGGGATTTGGTTTTCCCAACAGGGTTTCTCTGTAGGATTGGAGACTGTCCTAGAACTGTCTAATCGAAGAACAGGCAGGCCTCAGAACTCTCAGGGATCTGCCTTCTTCTGCCTCCCTAGTGCTGGGATTAAAGGTGTGTGTCACCACACCCTGTTAGGGGTTCTTGTTCTTCCATTATTCACAGAGATCTGCTGGCTTCTGGCTTCCTAGTGCTGGGATTAAAGGTGTGTGTCACTATGCCCTGTAAGGAGTTCTTGTTTTTACATTTCTCACAGAAATACCTCTGTTTCTGCCTCCCCAGTGCTGGAGTAAAGGCGTGTGCCACCACCACACTGCGTTAGGGTTCTTTTTCTTAGAGTTCATTTGAAAGAATTCAAGGTCATCATGGCCTTTAGAGCAAGTTCAAGTTCAGTTTAGGATATAGAAGACTAACAAAAAGGGAATTTTGAGAAATCTATCAGCAGATAGATCTTGTAGAAGAGAATTTCTTTCCTGTCTCAGATTTATGGCAAGAGCAGATATAGGACTAGTGTATTTCAAGCTGTCAAAGAAGTAGGAGAAAATGCCCAGAAAGCATGCAAAATAAGTATCAAATTAGGACAGAATGCCATCATGAGGTACTCATTAGCATCCAAAGGGGGTAGAAAAGGCACACTCAAAGAGTCAGGGTCTCTAGTCTCAGCATGTGTGAGGTAGAGGAGCAGAGGTTCGGGGTCATTCTTAGCCATACAATGAGTTTGAGACCAGCCTGAGCTATACCAAACTGGTGTCAGTCTTTGAATCCCTGGAGTCATATACTTTAGAATCAGCAACTCTGAAGCTTGGAAAAGGCACAAAGTTCAGGTCACATAGCCTGAGAACCTGAGTTTTTTCCCCCTGGTACACAGGATAGAAGTGAAAACCATATATTTCGTTTTCTTACCAACACAAATGCACTCTTACAGGATATTTTCCAAATGCATACACAAAAATACATGTAATACCATTTTTTCTTTTTTTCATATTGTTTTATTTAACTTTTTACACATGTCAAACTCAGTTCCCTCTCCCTCTCCCTTCCCTTCCCTCCTGCCCCTCCTTCCAGTCCTCCCAAACACTCACCCCCCAGTCCAAACCAACTCTGCTCCCCGGGGAGTGAAAGTGCTTCCAGGAGGGATTTTCAGAGTCTGTCACATTATCCCGGGCAGGGCCTAGGTCCTCCTCTCTGTATCCAAGCTGAGACTGTATCCTTCCACATAGAATGGGTTCCCAGTGTCCAACTGCATTATAGAAATTACTGCTCTACTCTCCAAGGTCCCACAGATTGCCAAGGAATTCTCTCTATCACCAAGGTTCAGTGGGAGGGAAATCGTGTTCAGTCCCATGCTGCCTCCTCAGTCATCAGTCTGAGGTCCATATGTTACCCCTTGTTTAGGTCAGCTGCCTCTCTGGGTTTCACCAGGCTGATCTTGATTCCTTTTGTCATCACTCCTCTTTGCAACTGGGTTCCAGGCATTTTTACAATATATTTTTCATTTTTTAACTCACTGCATTTGGCTTGACACCAAGATATCTCAAAAAGCTGAACAAGTCCTAGGTCAATGAGCATCACCTCTCCCAGATTCTGTAAATTTTAACATATACATCCTTTGTAGATGTCAAGGACATTTTCCAGGATTTCTTCATTTACCTGGGGTCTTTCTGTGAGGTTTCCAGAACAAGGAAGAGGTCGATTAGAGCTTTTGTATTACAACACTGGGAGTCACTGGATCCCTTGGAAACAAACTGAGAGTTTCTTAGTACAGATTAAGTGCACTTCAGTCGCTGAAAAAAAGGATGCCAGAATTGTCTTCTGGATAGCCATATACCTAGGGGCAATCTGTAAACAGAAACCCAGACACAATCTGTGGAATCTATGTAGAGAAGACAGGGTCTACAGAATGTGAGGAGAGCTGTTAGAGATGCAGAATTACTGAAGCTACAGAGTGGGTTTCTGCTTGATATTTGGAGACGAAAAGAAGAGGAGCAGTGCAGGTCCTAGATGGATACAAATTTAAGGGCATTTCCTGGAAGTTGAGCTTCAACATCAGTGAAGATCTGAGTAAGTCATAACATAGGTGGAGATAGGATTCTATCCCTTTGGACTGAGAAATGAGAGAAGTAAGGAAATGGTGGTTTTTATTGAATAAGTTTTAGTCTGAGTCAGCCAGTAGGAGGGATTCATTATCCAGCAAAGCTCAGGAGAGGCAGGATTTTGAGGCCTGGTGAAGAGCTTGTGCATGCATCAGCCCTTTCAGCCTGAACTTGAGACCCTGTTGAACAGATGATGGCCATGTTTGGGTACTGATAATCATCTATATCTATATAGGAATTTGAAAATGGCAGAGGGAAATAACAAAGAGGAGGTCCTTCACTTGAACAATGTTCACAGCCATGGAGGAGAAGAATGGATGACTGAAAGAGATTGTCCCTTAACCATATCTGGATCTGATGAGGAAGGGAATCCAGCGCTACTTAAGCCTGCTACTGAGCAACATGAAGATGACTACGTGTATGATGATGTCATACTGACAGAAAACCATAAACCTCAAACATACCGAGCCAGTGTCTTCAAATCAGCTGCCACGTGGCAAGATCTGAACAGATTGGGAAAAGAAAGGCCCAAAAAGTCTAGAGGAGACTCTGAAACAGATACCCACAGCAGTTTCTACTATTGTAACAAATCATTGCTTGGTCCTGGGGCACAGGATGATTCAGAGGATGAATATCATGGATTTCTGAATCTTGATTGTGGCAAAAACGAAGCCAAAACTGAACCAAGCATTAAGCAGACAGCAAACAACACAGTCAACCCCAAATTGGAGCAGAAAGACGTTAGATTGGGAGAAAATGGCCTGCTTTTTCCAGAAAGTGAGTCTCTGAAAGCTCAGAATCAATCATCTGAAGACTCACAGACAGATTCATCAAATCCTGGAGAGACGGCTACTTCAGTAGATGACCAGGTAATTGAAGGAGAACACTGGCTTCACCACCCTTCCTTCCAAGATCTAAATCCCCAGCCTCAAGAAAGAACGAACCAGGTTGTACCCAAAGAGACTCATTATGAAGCAGAAATGGGCACAACGGTCTTGTGGCAAGATTGCGCAGAACCTGCTTTTCCATATCCAGAACGCCACCAAAAGGGGATCCCTGTTCCTTATTCTCCTCAGGAAGCCCATCCTCGGGGAGAAGTTGAAGATCAACACTTAATACTTGATGAAGACACTGGAGTGGCTTTAAACCTGCGAGAAACTCAGGTGGCCAATTTGAAAAGCACGTGGGGACAAGGAGCTGATGAAATAGATCAAGAACTTGTTACATTATTAGTGAAAGAAACAGAAGCAAGATTTCCAGATGTAGCAAATGGATATGTTAAAGAGATCATTCATTTGAAGGATTACTATGATTTGAATGTACTTTGTAATTTTCTTCTGGAAAGCCCAGATTATCCAAAGAGAGAAGAAGACTCAGTTATTATCCAACCCAGTAGCAGCCTGCTTGTCTCTGAGGGTGATGTGATGTTGCCTAAAGTAGACTTTTTTGACTATTCCAAACTGACTCCACTTGACCAACGATGCTTCCTTCAAGCTGCAGACCTTTTGATGGATGAATTCAAGATGCTCAGCAGTCAAGACATCAAGTGGGCACTACGTGAGCTCAAAGGACACTATGCAATCACACGAAAGGCCTTTTCTGATGCTATTGAAAAATGGCAAAAAGACTCATCTGATCCCAGTGGAAAACAGAAAAAGAAGAAAGAAATGAATCGGTCTTCTTTCATAGATTTCAAATTTGAACAGGGCAACATAAAAATAGAAAAGAGGATGTTCTTTTTGGAAAACAAGCGTCGACAGTGTAGGTCCTATGACCAGAAAGACCTCCTTCCAGCTGTGCAGCAAGAGTTGGAATTCTATGAGCAGAATATCAAACATAAGGCAGAGCATGAAGACTTTTTGCTTCCCCTACAGATGAATGCAGAACCATATGAAAAGGACAGACAGCTGATTGAGTGTGGCTGCTGCTATGAGGAGATTCCATTTGAGAGGCTGACACAGTGCTCCGATGCTCACTTGTTCTGCAAAGAATGTCTCATCAGATATGCCCAAGAGGCAGCGTTCGGGTCTGGAAAGTCAGAACTCAGCTGCATGGAAGGCAACTGCACATCTTTCTTCCCAACCAGTGAACTGGAGAAGGTGCTCCCCCAGAACATCCTGTGCAAATACTATGAACGGAGAGCTGAAGAAGAAGTCACTGCAGCCTGTGCTGATGAGCTGGTCAGGTGCCCCTCTTGTGGCTTCCCTGCTCTGTTGGACAAGGAAATGAAGAGGTTCAGCTGCCCTAATATTGGCTGCCTGAAGGAGACCTGTAGGAAGTGTCAGGGACTTTGGAAAGAGCATTCTGGCCTCACCTGTGAAGACCTGGCTGAAAAAGATGACGTCAAGTACCGGACATCTATGGAAGAAAAAATGGCTGCTGCTCGCATTAGAAAATGCCCCCAGTGTGGCACCAGCCTCATCAAATCTGAAGGCTGCAACCACATGTCTTGCCGCTGTGGTGCCCATATGTGCTACCTCTGTCGAGTTTCTATTGATGGCTACGACCATTTCTGCCAGCATCCCCTCTCTCCAGGAGCCTCTTGCCAGGAATGTTCCAGGTGCTCCCTCTGGACCGACCCCACTGAAGATGATGAAAAGCTGATTGAGAAAATTCAAAAAGGTGCTGAAGAGGAACAGAAAAGGAAGAAGGGAGAAAGCACATTCAAACGAATCGGCCCACCACTGGAGAAGCCAGCTGAGAATGTACAGCACCTGACATGGCCTGTCCCACAGAACCTGCACCGACAGATGCCACCATATGCCATTATGTATAGAGTTTGCCCCCGACCACGTATATGCCCCATGTTTAACAACGTCCCCATCAACTTACATGCTGTGCCAGTAGCCTACGTAAGACGTCTGCCCAACTTGCGTGTAAACTATGACTTAGGAAACATGCATGTGCCCCTGTGTGGTGGTGATCATGATGAAGATGATGATGATGATGATGATGATGTAGAGAATGTTAGAGGTAATGATGGATATTGGGATGATGGTGATGATTATGTTTTCGATGTTGGTGATGATGATAATGATTATTGGGATAATGATCATGATTGTTGTGGTGATGGTTATTGGAATGATAGTGATGGTGATTTTTATGATCTAGATGATGATGGTGATATGGTGGAGGAAATGATGATGATGGTGATGGTTATTCTGCTGATGGTGATGATAATGATGTTGATTATGATGTTGGTGGGGATTGAAGTGATATGAAGATGGTGATGACTATGATGGAGATGGTGATGATGATAATGACAACAAAAGAGCTCTGCTCTGCATCACCTGAACTGTGCTACTAGCGTGATTGACATTGACTTGGAAATATGGAGATGTGGAAATATGCATGACAAGATAATCCAAGGACATGACTGTTAGGGTATTTTCTTCGCTGCACCTTCCTGTGGCAGCAGTTGGTTGGTAACTAAAAGCACTACCCTTTCCAAGCCTCATGAGTCTCTGAATTGGACAACCAACCAGTACTGGGTTTACCCAGTATTTCTATGACAAACTACAGCAAGAGGCCAGATGAGACTGGCAGTTAATGTGGCTGCTGAAAGAACAGGACCTGCTCAGAAAGTGGCCCTCAGGGAGATAAAGTCAGGATCATGTCCTTGGAAATACAGTCTGTGTGTGGCTGCAAACAAGGTTGCTACTGTCTTTGCCATCAAGGAGGTTTGTCTTAGTGACCCTCCCAGAACCTGTGTGACAGTAGTACTTGAGGGGCAATGAGTGGACCAGAAGGAATCCATGAGACAGCTACCACCCTAAGATGTGAGGCCCAGGCTTCTAACTGCTCTAAGAAACTGCCTAAGTACTCACTGTGTATTTGTCTTAAACCTGGAGACAATCTAGTATTTGCACTTAGAAAAATATTTCAAAGTTATAATAGCATGATCTCATTTTGTACAAAGGAAAAAAATGAAGTAGATTTTAAATGTTTTTTAAAGTTTTTTAGTAAAAATATAGACGCCAAGTCTGTTTAAACTACTGTATAAAAAAGACTGTATTTCATGTAACTTGATTTTCATATAAAAGTTTGTGAATGCTAAATAAAATATTATTTAGTCTAACATTTCAGAAGATTTTTGATCTGGTATACCTAGTCTATTTCATAGTCACTCTGTAACCAGACTGTGCTTGATTTTAAACTTTTCTTGGTACAGATTTCTAATGAGCTGGTTTACAGGTCTTGGCCCATGGTCTGACTCTTATGTGCTCTCAGATGCTAAGAGTGTATTACTATTCTTCATAATTTTATGAGTTATTGCTGGATGGTTCTTTTCCTTTTGTGTTAGGGTCTCTGGGAGCCCAGCCAGGATTTGTAGCCACTATGTAGTTAATGGAGGATGACTTTCTCCTTATAAGCTTTCTTTCTCTACACCAAGAGCACAGACCTGCTGCCAGAACATGGAATGTAGGAGCAGTAAATGGTCCTAAATTCTGTAACCATTTATCTAATTGGCATGTAAATATAATAATACAAATTGAGACAACATATCAAGCTCCAAATTGTTCTACAGTTAGCACTCTATTGGCTAGGCCAATATTCTCAACTTCCATTTTATACATAATCCTGTCCCAACATGTTAATTTGCATACAGTGATTAAACATTGTGGAATCCAGATTACCTACACCTTTAATGCTAGCACTCAGAAGGGTAAGGGATGGTAATCCATGTGAGAATGATGACTGCCTGGGAGGGGCAAAAAATGGGTAGAGATTTTGCATTTAAGGAAGATATTTAAGCACTGGTCCCTGGAGTAATAGTAAAACACACAGTGATCTGAACAAGGTAAATCCATCTGTGGATTCCAGGAAGGTGAGGTCACAAGGAAGTGTGTGTATGACAGGTATATTGATGAGGCTCTCTTGATGTGGGGAAGAGGGAACTAAAAGTGTAGTAGCCTTTTAACACTCTGGAGATTTATGCTTGTTTGCAGTTTGAACTTCACCATATTCCCAGCTTGATGGGCACAAGGTCCTGTGAAAATTCAGGAGCTGTTTGAATGTCGGTATCAGGTCGGTATCAGCATGATGTCGTATATCAAACCAGCAGAAAATGCTAGGGAGGCTTGAGTGTAGGAGCTAGAGACTTCGGTGATCCAAGAGGCAAAAAAAAATCACAGAATGTTCAGGCAGGAACAGAAGCTGACCTGAAAGAACATTTTGATAACTTCATGTACCAGAACAGGAGGAATGGATGACAATGACTCCAATACTTGGCTTGAAGTAGTACCATTTCAAGGTATGGCCTCTCATGTGTTTCCCTTTCTTCTAGTCAGAAAACCTAAACCAAGCAGCTACCTTCAAACTTTCCTGACTCAGGAGCTTCAAATGCCCATCTAGTGCTGTAGCTAATTGGACCAGTCAAAGGTTTTAGAAATGTAACGATGACTCCCGCCAGGATTGGGAGCTCTGTGCAGTTCCCAGGCACTGGAACATATGTACCTGAACATAACACCACTAGCACAGACAGTGAGATCAACAATTAATAAATGGGACCTACTGAAACTGAGAAGCTTCTGTAAGGCAAAGAACACAGTCAGCAAGACAAAAAGGCAGACCACAGAATGGGAAAAAATATTCACTAATCCCACATCTGACAGAGGGTTGATCTCCAAAATTTACAAAGAACTCAAGAAGCAAGTCTCCAAAAAGCAAAGGACCCAATTAAAAAGTGGGCTGCAGAACTAAATAGAGAGTTTTCAATAGAGGAGTCTAAAATGGCTGAGAGGCACTTGAGAAAGTGCTCAACATCCTTAGCCATCCGGGAAATGCAAATCAAAACAACTCTGAGATACCATCTCACTCCTGTCAGAATGGCTAAAATCAAAAACACCAATGACAATTTATGCTGGAGAGGATGTGGTGAAAGGGGGTACATACCTTTAATCCCAGCACTTGGGAGGCAGAGGCAGGTGGATCTCTGTGAGTTCGAGGCCAGCCTGGTCTACAAAATAAGTTCCAGGACAGTTCTATGGGACTTTGGACTCCCATAGAACAATGTGAGGTGCACTCTCACCCTGAACTCTTGGGGAAGGGTCTAGGCCCTGCCCTATATGAAATGACAGACTATGGACACCCCCATGGAGGGACTCACCCTCCCTGGGGGAATGAGGGGATAATGTGGGGGGTTGGGGGGAGGGCACGGGAGGAGGGGAGGGAATGGGAGAGGGACCTGGAACTGACTTGTGAAGCAACCTCGATCTTATCTAAATTTAAACTGGAAAATAAAAATAAATAAATAAATAAATAAATAAGAAATGTAATGATGATGTATCTAAGGTTGGAATTCCATGCCTATTACTCAATTATAGTACCACATTGGTGCAATGCAGGGGGATTAGTGTGTCTTAGTGGCCTAGACATCCGGGCTCTCCTTCAATGTCCAGCTGCAAGTAGAAGCTCCTTTATTTTCTTTGTTTCAGGCACAGATTATCCTGTCTTCCTGCCTTCTTGGGTCTAAGATGACTAGAGATCTGTGATGGGTGAGTGGTATTGACTATGCTCTAGGCTTTTCACCTAACGTTTTAAGATTAGGGTCCTAAATGGGGCACCTGACCTCTACTGATCTCTGCTCTCCGATTTTTTTTCAGGATTAGATGAGCTAGGGACAATTGCAAGAAGACTGGAGAACTTCCTAGGAAGTCTGTCTGGGGATCTCACAACAGACAAACCTGCCCAGAAGGTGGTGTTCCACATGTTATCTATTGCAGATTAAATTCCTTGTGTAAAATTCCTTAGATATAAAAACATCAATACTTTGGATGCAGAGTCTTTAAAAGAGTAAGATAAGTCTCCTTCTTCCACAAGGTGCAGCAACACAATCAAGTCTCCAATTACACATAGATCCTGAAATGAGGAAATGACATAAAGTGTCCCTATGACTGTCATGAGAAAAAAAGTCTCCCAGTGTATCTTGGTCACCCAACACTGGTAACTGGATCACATCCCCCTAATCACCAAAAGCCTTCAAACTCCTCAGTTACTTCTTGTTTATGGATTCGCTAGGTTCTAATTTTCCTGTAGATAAATGTGGTGTAGATAGTCCTGAAGCTCCAAGGACACAACAGAGGAGTGTACTGTATCCTCCAATGTAAAAAAACCCTCACACTCCAAGGACATTTTATCATTGCTAGTTACCTCATGTTGGAGCAGAGTACTGAGCCAGCCCCAGTGAATGGTTTGACCTAGTATGAAATCTGTATATGTCACATACTTGTCCTTTTAACACTGTGATCAAAACTGTTCTCTTCTCTGTACATTCATCTGGATCTCCCCCATTTGATGATTTCTCAATGTTTAGAGCGGCTTAAGACGTGTGCACGGGGGACCTGTGATCCTCCATGGGTGTCCCTAGTTATTCTTCTTCACTCTGGGCACAGCTATGGACCCCTATCACCACCTAGGCGTCTTCTCAGGGAGCCAGATTTTGGGACAATTAAAACACACCAGATATTCTATCTGAAGTTTCCATAGTCATTTTGTGACAACCCATAAACTATCCTATCATCCTTCTTCCATTTAGAGCCTCAGATTTTTTAGAGGTAGTTGCTAGAACCATGATTTCCATCCAGAATGTTCACCTGGGAACACAGGTTTTCTTCTGACATCTTTTTTTAACTCCCTCCAAAGTCAAATGAATACTCTAAATCTATTTTCGGTCAATTCATTCTGAAGATCTCATATCTGTCCTTGCTTCTGACATTACAGGGTCTGTTTCTCCCAGCACATCCATTGTGGGATCCATTCCCAGTCTCATACCCAGGCTGCAAGCTTCTCTCCATGATTATATGGACATAGGAGATGACAGGTGTAATCTCCACAAAGACCTATTTGTTGGTCAAGCCCTCATTATAGCATCTTACTTGTATCAGATACAGCTCATCCTTTTATCCATTCATCTTAGAATTCTATCTATGAAAAGTTATGGATAGAGAGCAGTGTCCTAGAATTTCTCCCAGCATCTTCAGATTTGGGAACTAAATTGGGCACTCAGACACTCCTGATCTCTTTTGCTTGTTGCTCTAGATCTTTGTTCAAGAACAGGCATGCTAGAGTGAATCAGAAAAAGGTCCAAGAAATACTTGTGTATCCTGGCTGTGCATCTGAGGACAGGTCTGACTCCCCAATGTGTAGTCCCTGTTGACACAGCACCCACTGCATATTGCCTGAGCCAGAGCCATTCAAGAATGGCTGTGCTCCCCAACTTAGCCCATCAAGTAACTTCTCACACCATGAACCCAATGTCTCTATTGGTCACAAGGTTGAGAAGAAATGCTTCCAAAAGATTCACCTAGAGAGAGGCATAATAGGTAGGCAAAGAGCATAGAACGACTTCAGGAACCTGTCCACCAATCATCTGGTAGGTGTTGACATCCCAAACATTGTGTCCCTCTGGCAAGATTGGTCAGATTGCATTCTATGTGTTAGAGACCATCAGGTGTCAATACTCCTCCTGTATTCAGGTGAAAAAATATTGTCCCAGCAACAACAACAAGAGATCTACAGAGCAGAAACAGCTGAGGAAGAAGGCTAGAGAACTATCATGGAAGGGAAGGAAGGATTCCTGTCCTTTTCATGGCCTCTCCTTGTGAGCATACCATGTTCCAGACACAGTTGTCAGTTCTTCTCCTCCGGTGTGTCACTCCATTCCTTCTCCAGACACAGAGTCCATACCATCCATATGGGAGAGCCCAAGTAGTGTCAGCTCTCCTCCTCCCCTCAGTCCAACTATTTTCACAGCACCTCACTCAATGATCCCCATTAATGAGACCAATGTGTATCACTTTAATATTTTATTTTCAAACAGTCTTGTTTTACATATCAATAACTCCATTCCCTCCCATCCTCTTATGCCCCAAACCCATCTCCCCAACCCACCACCCACCAAATCCCCAAGCATAGTGAGGCTATCCATGGGACACCATCAAAGTCTGTCATATCATGTACAAGAGGGCCTAGGTATACTTTCATATATCTGGACTGTAAAATTTTCCCTCGTAGGGAATGGGCACCGAAAGTCCATTTGTGCTCTTGGAATAAACATTGGGTCCACTCTTAGAGGTCCTATAGACTGCCCATGTCTCCTAGCTTGCACTCACATTCAGAGGGCTTAGTTCACTACAACACTTTACAGCTTTACAACTAGGATCTCTGTGCTCTCACTTGGTCAGGTCAGATGTTTCTGGTTGTTTCATCAGCATGGTCTTGTCCCCTTTTCTCATCCTTGCTCCCACTCCATAACTGGATTCCAGGAGTATAACTGAGTGTTTACCTGTGGGTGCCTGCTTCTGCTTTGATCACCTGCTGGATAAATGCTCTAGGAATGGCAACCAAGTTAGCAATCAATCTCATTAAGGGGAAGGGCATCAAAGGCAGCCTCTCTACCACTGCCTAGGTTCTTAGTTGGTGTCCTCCATTTGGATTCCCAGACATTACCAGAGTGTCAGTCCTCTCTCCAAGTGTACACTGGCACGCTCTCTAAAGGCTTCTCCTTTTTGCCCTCCTCTAGTCCTCTCCTGTCTCAGTCTACTTGATCCCTTCTGTTTCCCCCCTCCTCTTTCCCCCTCTCATCTTTCAACTTCCTTACTTTCTCCTACCTCCCCCTCTCCCAATTTGATCTGATGTTCTTTTCCAACTCCCTTTGTTTGGGGGAACCATGCATTCTTCCTTTGGAGCCGTTCCTTTTTCCTAGTTTCTCTGATGTTGTGGATTGCAGGCTGGTAGACCTTTGCTCCGAGTCTAATACACATGTATGAGTTAGTACATACACTGATTGTCTTTCTATGATTGGGTTACCTCACTCAGGATGTTTTCTTCCACTTCCATCAACTTGTCTGCGAATTTTAAGATTTCATTCTATTTTCCCACTAAGTAATACTGCATTGTGTAAATGTATCAGATTTATTCCATCCATTCTTCTGTTGAGAGGCATCTAGGTATCTTCCAGGTTCTGGCTATTATAAACAATGCTGCTATCAACATAGTTGGATATATGTGCTTGCTGCAGGAATGGGCATTCTTTAGGAATATGCCCACGAGAGGAATTGATGGATCTTTAGGTAGACTGATTCCAATTTGCCTGAGAAACCACCATACTGATTTCCAAAGTGGTCATACAGTTTTGAACTCCCAGCAACAATGGAAGAGTGTTTGTCTTTCTCCACATTCTCTCCCATCATAGAATGTCTTGAGTATTTCTTATTTTAGTCATTATGGTCACTGTAAGATGGTATCTCAGAGTTGCTTTGAGTTGCATTTCTATGATGGCTAAGGATGTTGAGCACTTTCTTAAGTTTCTTTCAACCATTTTAGATTTCTCTATTGAGAATTCTCTATATAGATCTATACACCTCTCTTTGGATTGTTTGGTGTTTTGGTGGCTAGCATCCTGAGTTCATGGTGTACTTTGGAAATCAGCACTCTGTCAGATGTGGAGTTGGTGAAGATCTTTTCCCATTCTGTGGGTGCCGTTTCGTCAAGCTGACTGTGTCCTTTGTCTTCCAGATGCTTCTCAGTTTTAGGAAGTCCCATTTATTAATTGTCGATCTCAGTATCTGTGTTACTGGTGTTATGTTCATGAAGAGATCTCCTGTGCTAATTTGTTCTAGGGTACCTCTCACTGTCTTGTAAAAGGATTCATGTGACTGGATTCATGATGAAGGCTTTGGACTTAAGATTGTGCATGGCAATAGATATGGATCTGTCTGCAATATTCTACATGTCAGCATCCAATTATGCCAGCACCATTTGTTGAAAATGCTTTCTTTTTCCCACTGTATAACTTTAGGTTCTTTGCCAAAAATCAGATGTTTGTAGGTGTGTGGGCTAAGGTCAGGGTTTTCAGTTCGATTTCATTGGTTTATCGGTCTATTTTGGTGCCAATACAAACCTGTTTTCAAGACTATATCTCTATAATACAGCTTTACGTCAGGGATGGCAATACCTCTGGAAGTTCCTTCCTTTTTCCATATAAAGTTGAGTATTGTTCTTTCAAGGTCTGTGAAGAATTGGGGAATTGTGTTGGGATTTTGAATGTGATTGCATTGAATCTATAGATTGATTTGGCAATATTGCCATTTTTACTATATTGACCCTATGTATGGAAGACCATGGGAGATCTTTCCATTTCTGGTATATTCTTTAATTTCTTTCTTTAAAGACTCAAAGTTCTTGCTATACAGTCCTCTCACTTCTTTGGTTATCCTTATCCCAAGATAGTTTAGGTTGTTGTTTATGGCTACTGTAAAGTGTAATGTTTCCCTGATTTCTTTCTTAGCCCATTTCCCTTCCATCTTTTCTGGAGCCTGTCATGGCCACTAAAGCAGGGGCAGATGAGGGTCTGGTCCCTTCAGGCACACACACACTGCCCACCAAGGTGGGTGAAAAATATCCATGGGCCTATTGGGCACTGCTTGGACTAGGCAAGTAGTAAAATGCCCATGCAAAGCTGCTGGCCTCAGGCAGATAGTGGACACCCACAGGCCCACCTTGTGCCATTAAGGTCTAATGTGTGGAAACAACGGGCCACCCAATGCTGCTCTACCAGGGACAGTAGATGATACCTTGCAGACCTACCTAATGTTGCTAGGCCAGGGCAGGTGGAATATACCCACATGTCTGTCTGGCACTGCTAGGTCTAGGTAGGTAGAGGATGCCCACAGGCCTGTCCAGTGATGCTAGTTATGCATGGTTATAGGATACTGCGATGGATAGAAG